TCAATATATCCTACTAAATCTTTTTTTTTCATTTATAATTCAAATCGAATAAAATAAATAAAATTGATCTTATTTTCTTGAACAATAGATAACCGAACGAGATAGAAGAATAAAATCTTTTTATTTTCTTTCTCTAATAATTCTATGTGACAAGAGCAGTCATCCTATTCTGCAAAGTTACACATTCCTGCATCCCACAAGGCCATCAAACTCATCATCATTCAATTCCGGAATTCCTGACATCCAATTCCTACCCATGCCATCGAATTTTACTGAATTTCTGCCAATTCCTGCATAGGTTGATGTATTCATGTTCAACTGAACATTACTATAGAAATAAAGATTCGATTCCGTTTTAGAATTCCGGAATTGCATGGATGTGGAATGACCAGGAAGTCCTGCCAATTCCTATCAATTTCGTTATAGCTTGATGTATTTGTATGTTTTCAAACTGTATGCTTAATTCGTTACGTAATTCTGTTAGCATTGAAATTGATGTTGTAATCAACCTTGCTAATTCGATATGATTGTAATTTTATTATATAAAGAATTCATTAACTTAAGATCTGTTAAGTACGAACGAGAGCATTTCTCATGAGTAGATGCTTGTGTATAAAATGCATTTGATATTTTATCTCGAAGTTATTTATTTCTCTGTAAGAATTATTATTATTCGTTCAGCCTTTTTATTCAAAATAATCAAACAATTAGAAAGTTTTTATATTATATTTTTTTTTAATTGTTTCGCATTTTAAAATTTTTGCAGAAGTTCATCATAGATAGATCGTTAATTTTAAATTGTCCTGACGAGTCTGGACTATAGACTTTTCTGTTTGATCGTTTTGCTAATTAGTCTTTTCTCTTCCTTCGTCTTCGTAGAGAATATATCGTCAGAAAGGGCAAATGATAGGTTGTACGTCCGTACCAGGGGCGTACCAAGGTCTTCAAGGCAGGGGGACGTAACCTTCCGGTATCTCAAATTCTAAAAGCACGGGGGCGCAACACCTTCATTTGTACAAATCTAGCACCAAAACACACCGAAAACACTGTTTTTTCAATTTTATTGGCTAAAAAAAAACAAAAATTTCTAAAGCAGGGAGGCGTAACGTCCCACGCGACTCCCCCTCGCTACGTCCCTGGTCCGTACAAAGGTTAAATTACATGATAATTTGCAAATTTGATCATTATACATAAATGATAAAGCGAAATAGTTAATCTGTTGTTTCGAAATTATCTTCACATGTCTGTAAGAAAAACACGTAACGTGGCATCGTTTCAGTCGATTGCTTCTAAACATGTTCAACGCTGGTCGGTGGGCAAGCTCAAGAGTGAGGGTGTACAGAAAGCTTGGTCGGTGGGCAAGCACAAGAGTGAAGGTGTGCGGATAGCTTCGTTGGTGGGCAAGCAAAGAATGAAGGTACGCGAAAAGCCCGGTGAGAAGGGGAGCATCGTAGTGAGGATGTGCCGAAAGCTCGATGAGAAGGAGAGCATCGTAGTGAGCGTGTGTCGTAAGCCCGATGTGAAGGTATGCAGAACAGTTGGAACGAGCTCCACTCTTTTGGAGTGGAAAATGTTTTTTGGTCAATTAGAACTCTTAAAGCATTTCTCTATTTTCATTTTTAGTGTACCATACGCTGACACGCCCATAGACACCCTCACCCGAAGCTCGTTTCGTAATTAAATGACTCTTTCTGGATGAATATATGTATAGTGGGCATACATAAAAAATTCCGGAATTACCCGGAATGAACAATAATTCCTGTATTTTCTGGTCATTGCTGATCTTTTCTAATTCCGGAATAGGCAGAAATGACCAGGAGTTCCTACATTTTCTGGTCATCGCTAATCTTTTCTAATTCTGGAATTCCGCTTGGATATCGAACAGATCTTTTAAGATGATCATTTCGTTATTCAGTATATCCTTCGAATTCTAGAATTACCCGGAATGATCAGGAATTGGATGTTGAGAGTTGGATTTGAAAGGAACTACGAATCTGAAATTCCTGGTTGTGGCATGTATTTGAGGGAAAGGGTCGTTTTAGGTTTTCCGGAATTGATGGTAAGAGATTCCGGGTCAGAAGGTGATGCAGGAATGTGTAAATTTTGGGAATAGTAAGTATTCTCTGTGACAAACTATTGAAATATTTTATTGAATCAATTTCGATTATTGGTACAATAGTAGATTCGAGTTTATTTAATGGACTTTGTTTTCATCGTCAATCTATACTAAATTCAATCAATCTTTAACATATTTCATCAATGACAATAATAAACAACGATTAACTGAAAGTTTATATTTAATAGAGACATGAGTTTTTTGTCCGATATATTATCATTTAGAAAATTTTCCTTTCTTTCAATATTTGATCACTCACGTTTTCTAAGGATAAATTCAAATGTTCCTGTTCAATAATTCTAATTAGACTAGAAATTTAATAGAAAACAACAAAGAAAATATTTGACATATATATTTCAATTAGACAGGAGTTTTAAATCAATCTAAAAAAGCTCACGAGACATTGATTAAGTATTTATCATTAATAATCGTTTAATGTGGTTAGTTCGATTATTCGTCAATTGAATTTCTTCGCTTGCTTACATATATCTATAAAGTTATCAATCAGTTCTACTAATTAAATAACGTAAATCAGTTCTAAAACGGTTTTAAAAAATTCAGTTATAAAATGAATCAGTTTTTGAAAATTTCTATCAATAGTTTTAGTAAAATCTAATAGAGTTTATTAAAGCCTACACGATTCATTAATCTATATGATATTTTTATAGGAATTTGGTCAAGATGACCATGAAGAATATCCAAAGGAACACATTATTTAACTGATAGTAACGACTGAACTTATCTACACTCAAAAGACACATTATCTCACTGAGAATGAGAACAGAAACACATTCATACAAAGCAAAGCCAAAGGAAATGTCAACAGATTCAGGAAAATTTCATTGGATCCTGTTAGATTCTAATAAAGTTTGGGAGATTTTTGTTTCTGGTAGGTCTTAATGAGGTTTAATAGACTTATCAATATATATAATTAGCGTTGTTTAAATAAATCACTTCCATAAAGTATAGAAATGTTTCAGTTATTTTATAATTAATTTTCGTCATTAATTGTCTTTGTTACATGTGATTTGATCATTCGAATGTTTTCTCTTTTTCGAAAACAAACCCCGATACTAAATCGATGTTCACTTATCATCGCTTATGTCACACATGTAGAAATCTATTTAGATTATCTTCTTCGGTAGTGTGAATGGATAAATTTCTCCTATTTAGGAACATATCAACGAAATTTTCAACTGACATATGTTGAATAAAAAGTTTTAAAAAATTGATCTATTGTTTGATAACATATTCAGATTAAATCTAATAATTGTTTATCTAGAAAGATGGTACATGCCTTATTTATATGAAAAGTCGACTTTATTTTCGTTTTGTATGATCAAGAAGAGACGCAACATTTGTAAACTAAGAAGCATAGAAAATTGAAAAGTTCATTCTACTAACTGTCAGTCTCAGTGATATGTGTCGATCGAATCCTTCCGAATAATATTATTTTTATTGATTTATACTAAAATAACTTTATTCTATTAATATATAAAATTTATTTTAATTAAAATAAATTTATTAGAAGAAAAGAAATACATTGATGTATTAAACTACGAACGATACACTATAAATGTCGGCTAAACACTTAAGTAGTTCTATTTGTGGTATAATATAGCTTATATTGATCCTATAAGTAAAGTGTTTCTTACTCAGACTTTGTTCTCGTTAACACACTAATTCTACATTTATTGAATACATTAAATGGTGAAATGTTTTCTTTAAACTCTAACTTAATATTGTTAATCAATGAACTCTAGTAAATCAGAATTTTATATTCCAATAAAGAAACTCTGTTAAAAGGCATCGAAATGCTCTATTTTTCTGTAGTTGAGAAGAGATAAAGAGTAACATTTTAACAAAGTGAATCACTAATCATTTTGCAAGAACATCTATTTTCAAATGTTCATGCTATTTGACACAGATATATCTATTAGAGAAAGGAACCAAGGTTAAAAATCGAGTCAAAACTTACACAAGTATAGCAAATCGAGAAAAATTTCATTGATATTTGTAAACAATCATCAATCGACTGATTAATTGCTATTGAGGATGTTTATTTATCATTATTTGATTAAAATTGATCGTTTATATTTATTAAACAACACTAGCAGAAGCACCCGGCCTTGTATTGGAAAATTTAATCTTAATATATGCAAACAAAACTTCTATTGCACTCGAATTCATCTTGAGTCCATCTTGAAATAATATAATGTTCTAATATAAATTTTTTTTTAAGGAAAAGCTTGTTGAAGACTTTTCATTACTTGTGTTATAATTGTTTGATCCTTTTCATCTTCCATTGATTGAGCTCGTCGTCTACCCATCATAAATGAGAGTGTATGTTTTATGGGACTACATAAAGCAAACGGAAATGGAGCATCAACTAGATACAATATAGTCAATTTCTCATTCCGAAAAGTTATGTCAAACTGCATAATGATTTTGTCCGTATTTCAAAATCCTAATCAATCGATGGCATCTAATTTCCATTGGGGTAAAGAAAATTGAAAGATAATTGTACGTTGTTTCAAACAATTGAGAGGAACATTAATGATACAGTATTGAATAAAACGGGTAGTCGATAATGGTAAGTAAGGCGTTCAAGAAAATAACCATAATCACGTTTAAGAACAGAATTTTTTTCACTTTCAATTTCTATCGACCGATTAGATCTATTCAAATATTGTTTAGCGGAAAAGTTGATCTAGATCTGCTGCATAAATTCCTTCTAAAGCTGTAATTGTTGTTTTAACACGATGTTTGTGTTGATAGTCTTCTAATCTATTACATTCTTTTTGGATTGCATCATATATCGAAATATCTTCATCTTTATCATTAGATGTGATTTGTGAAAATAATCTATTCATTCTTTTTGTGCTTAAGTACAAATTTGTTGAGCAATAATCGAACTATCTGAATCATAACCAACGATTGTTGCTGGATTAAATAATTGAATATAATAACCGTCATTCAACTCTGTTCTAAGTTGTTCATAAAAAGAATAAAGAAAATTATTAGGACCATATTGATGTATCCATTCAGCTCCAACATCAAACGAAGATTTCAATGAATGTTGACCAGTATAAGCACGATCTTCAACTCGATCATGTGCTTCTAAAATAGTGAAAGTCAAATTCGATTGAGAAAGTAATTCAGTTGCTGCTTCAATTTCATATGAACCACATCCAATCATGACAACATCATAAGGTTTATTTTCCATACTTGATTTTATTCCAAAAAGTGAAAAAAGATAAGTGTTTCAGTTATAAATAGAGTTCTTAATAAATCGTAAGATAAAGTAAAACATAAATATGAACTTTTTCATTTCTTTATTTACGAACTTTCAATATTACTTGCGTCATCATTAGGTTAACAAAAAAACGTTTTTGCAATATAAGAGATTGATAAGTTGAAAGTTCGATGAATCATTGAAAAGTGTTTTGAATGGATATAGACTATCTAATGGACAAGATCAACGGCTGATTGGGATTTCAACTTATATATCTTTTCTCTTGCAAAATCTTGTTTTTCATTAACCTGATGATGATGCAAGTAGTAGAAAAGTTCGCGAATAAAGAAATGGAAAATTTCATATTTATTTTTTTGCTTTGTCTTTTGATTTATAAAAAGCAAATAAAAACGTATTTATCATTCGACAAAGGAATCGTTTTCAAATACTGTAATATGAAACGAGATAGGCAACAAAAGACAAAAGAACATGGATATATTTCTTTTTCGTTCTTAGCGTTTATTGTCCTTAACTTCTTCAAAATCCATTTTGATATTTTTAATCAAAGAAAAGGGCTTGATCAAAAAAAAAATATTCAATTACAATTATAATATTTTCGAACTTCTTCTATATCAGTTGCACTTAATGAATTTCGTTGTCCTATCCAAACATTTGGACTCTTTGTAACAATAGTTGGTAATCCATTCATTGAAAAAGCAGTTTTTGAATAATGCATTACCGAATTATAATCGTATGGAAGACTTAATGTATCAGTTACTTCAAATGAATATTTATTAAAATTATGTTCTCTTCCTATATGTTAGAATAAAAACAAATTATGTATATGAATACTTCATTAAAACAATTGTATTACCTGGTTCTACATTATTAAAATCAATAGTTACATAATCATCTCGATCTGGGCGTGATTGTTCATGCCAAAAACCAAGAGCTATAACAGAATAAGAAAATTAATAAGACAAGAATGAATGTTTTTTTTTCACCATGTATGAATTCATGCATGACGGTTGCCTCACGATCAACACAGTATGATTTCATTTGCAATGTAACTTTTTGACCACCTTCGAAAACCCGTCCAACCTCAAACAAAATTATCGGTATTCTTCTAGTAATAGATTATAACTTACATATGAACTACATCCACTACCATTTTTAATTGATATAAAATATTTATCATCATCAGTTTTAGGTCGAAATCGAATACAATATGAAGCAGAATTTGGATCTAATGAAACAACTCTTTCCAGACGACGCATAGCCGATATAATCTTAGCACGATCGTATGCATCTTGTTTTATTTCAAAAAAATATCAGATAATAAATCTTGTTCTTGTTTTTTGAAAAATGAATTCTTACCATAATCTAATGAAATTTCATATGGGACAATTCCATTCGGCCAACGAGCAGATAGATCTCGTTTACCTATACCTCGAAAGATTGTGACAGGTGTTAATAAAATATCACCTTCAAAATCTCCACCTACAAAATAAATAAATGCTAAAAAAATCTATTTTTGTGTTTATTTACCTATTTCTTCAGGATCTTGAATATTTGTGTTTACTACAGATCTATATTTTGGATAACTACTTGTAGAGCAAAGTAATGTTAAAAATACGAATATATTTGGTATCAACATTGTGCTTTTGTTTTTTTATTTCTTATTATTTATCTAATACTTCTTCTTTATTATAAAAATCAACATCTGTTGTCTTTCTCATGATTGAAAATAGAAAAGTTATCGAATTGATAAATTGCAATCCAATCATTATAACACAGTAACTATTGACTTCGTGAGAAAATATTCGACATTCAAAGAACATAAAACTAGAAATATGGCATATATATTGGAACATGTTCTTTTCTGCTGAAATCTATTAATTAACTATAGCAACATTGATCATCAATATCATGAATATTATTCACATTTATTTCATTGAACATTAATTGTGATAGAGTACCAGTTCAGTTCGATGATGTGTATATCAGAGATGCTCATATAATGTTTTTTTTCCAAAAACAAACATGAGCACACCAAAGCAAACAATAAATACTATTAGCAGATACAAAATAAAATAAAAGAGGAAGAAAAGTCTATAAAAAGAAATCTCAATAAAACATTTATGATATTTCATAATAAAAACAAGAAAGTTGTTTTTATCAAATAGAGTCGTTTTAATCTTTTCAAATTCATTTCACATATTTACTATAGTAGGATCTATATGTAGAGAAATACACAACAGAAAAAGAAACGACTAAAATTCAAGAGACAACAAAATAGAAACTTTACTTGAATGGTTTATTAAGACTACAATAATATTATTCTACTTCGTTGTATTTGCATTTTTCATTGCATGTTACAAGCAATGCATTATCTAATGGAGTACCATCTAATCGATTTCTTCGTTCAGTATAAACTAAGCCAGCACTGGAAAATTATCTCTTAACACTGGTAGATGTTGCCCATATCGAAAACAAATGACGAACTAATAATAATAATTTGAGAAATTTCGATTTATGCTCATTCCATCAAGGCAACACATTTCCATTGCCCTTTTTTTTCATTTAATTTAAGAAGTAGAAATATTGAGTAACTGTATCGGCAGTTTTGTTGATTGAAACCATTTCTAAATGATTCATCATCGTCATTACATACTTCAGCAAAATCAAATGTATTATCATATGTACATTGTTCAACTAATTGATGTTGTTTTTTTTCTGCATTTGTATTATTCACTTTAAGTGGTTCAGGTGGCAACGAATGATTATAATACTATTGATTTGATCACGAATAAAATTTATGTGTTAAAGGCATGTCTTCTTTTGTATGACATCTTTGAGTATAGTATTTTGGACGCAAGAGTACTGATGCATAATACTGAATATTAATATCGAATATCGATATACTGTGACTAATAAGGCAATAAAAAAAAACCTCCCACAATTTTGGTGTCTATATTTTAAACTCCTTCCATGAATTTTAAAGTTCTATTTAGACCATAGGGTAAGAAGAATTATCATTTCATGGTTCAGACCATACGTGAGGAATCGAATAAGCAAAAAGTGAACACTTTGGAGAAGGTGATGGGGTGGTACTTCGCCCCATCCCCATTTGGGGCATCACCCCATCGATCCCGACCTCATGGGTGACTCCATGAGCATCTTTGCGTGGGAGATATATAAGGAAATATCTCACAGAAGTAATAAAAACTATGTCTATGTAGTGTTACTGAGCGGTAAGGAATAATATTCAATGATTGAGTAAGAAGAGGTGTATTCCCCGCATGCACGTTTTCGTAGCTCCTGATTCCGATAATGAAAACTTTGATAAGATAATGGTTTGAGAATATTTTATCACTTGATCGAACCTACAGAATGAATAGTCCTTTGATTCAACAAATATTCTTAGATTTAGACCAAGTATAATATAATAAATATTTTAGTAATTTTTCATTTCTCTTTTTGACTACATCAAATTATTTGTTTTAAGCTAGATTATATTATCAGTAATAGCATTTTATATGATTCCCATGTAGTCAAAGCCGGGAAGAACCAGTAATTTATCACAGTTTTACTAGTCCGGTTATTAGCTCCACTACAGCGACTAACCGACGGTTTTCTCCGATTTACGAGTTCCTTAACCGTGATTCGGTGATTTTTGCCGGTAAATCACGGTTACCACTAAAAATGATGTGGTGTTTTATGGCATGGGTTGTTCTGTTTCGCGATGAAGACAGGACTAGCATTAAGTAAAAAAAGAACTTATGCCTACTATTGGACAATGAGAAAATAAAAATAATTATCGAAAATGAAAAATTCTGATTCTTTTTCTTTCATCTGATTTTTTTTTACAAAAAATTTGTGAGAGAAAAAAGAATTTTCATTATTTGAAAACTAAGGATACGATGTATTTACTTTTGTTCATCATAGAACTTGTAAATTTATCCGCATGTGTTATGTAATTCGCCTTAAATATATACAAAATGTATAAATTTAATACGATCTTTTACCTTGAATGAAACTATTGATTGTCAACTGGTTTTTAATCTTTTCTTTCTCATGTACGCAGAAAAATACAATTGTCATGAGACTATTATATTTAACCTACACAAGTCGAAAGAGCATCATAGTAAACGATCTTATACAACGAAATACGTTGAAAATCAATCGTCGCAAATGACTATCGTACACGATTATATTTAGTAATAAATTAGTTGTAAATCGACTTGCACTTATTGAGCACATCAATTTTTCGTTTCGAATTCAGCAACAAATATAATAATAAATCTTTCCTTTAAGAAAACAATTTTTTCATTTAGTATAATTCGAACAACATAATAAAAAGTAAGCATTGTTTTTAGTTGAATCATTTTATTAGATTTTATTTCTATTTAGATTGAATCAAAAGCATATTTAAGTGTAAGAATTTTTTTATTTTTATTCAGATCGACTCGAACAGCAGATTAAACAATAAGTAACTTTTTTTCTAAAAAAAGATACAAGAACATTTCGTGTTGAAGGCACAAAGTAAGTGAGAAAATCTCTCACTCTTAAGTGAAAAGAATATAAAAGTATGAGAGCATACGACGTCGTATATAATTATTCACAGTCAGTCATTTAGGTCGTATTTCCTAGAGTCCAGTGATACGACGAAATACGATCGTTTTACGACTGCCGAAAAGCTCGTCCCGGATACTCGTAAGTACTTCATAAAACAATTCGTATTATTTATCTCGATTTATTCATTTTATGACTAAGTTTTTTATCATAAATTAATTAAAGACAAAATTTAAGAAAAATCTGTACTCATACTAATTGGACCGCATCATTCATGTAAATCTAATTAGAGAAAAATAGATATGTTTACTTCTTATGTACTAATCAAAAGTATAAACATCAGACAAAAGAACTATTTGTCTTCTTTTATAACATACAATCAATAAAAATAAATAAATTGGTAAAATATTATGTGATCATGCTGTAACCACGGCAGAGGTCATAGCAAATTGAATATAAAAAGAGAGACAAGATTATATTACATATACTTTTGATAAGTATCAAAGTATTGATGTAAAAAGACTACAAATATCTTACGGCCATAAAAGTTTGCTTTTTATGCGCTATAAAATAATGCCAAAGGTAATATTAATCTGATAAGACTAATAATAGTCTATATTTTTATTTCATCTTCAGAGTAGTATACATATATGTATACTGTCTAAAATTATGTTAATTCAGTTTATGAATATTTATAGTGGAATAATTAAAGAGTGGAACAGAAAAATCCCAGATACATGAACATTATTGATCAACTCTCTATTTTGAGTCATTACAAGAGTCATATTGTTTTTTACATTGTCGTCCTTTTTCTTTCCCTATCTTTTTTCTTCAGAGCATGCTGTATGTCTCCACTTGCTCGAAAAAACTAAAACCAAATTTAGTAACTGTCGATGTTAGTTCATGATAGAAAAACCAAAATATATGTCATGCTTGGATAATGTTACGATTGGAAAGCAAATGCAAATAGCTGATGTTACTTTCTCCTACAATCTATTTGTCAAGACTGTTGAGTGGAATATTAATGAAAAAAATTATTTTCTGTTTTATTTTTCAGTTCGGTTGATATAGTCATTTGAATATAACAAAAGAATTATTCTTTTCTTTAAACATATGTCTATAAATGGCATTATTTTTTTTAGACCGTGTATGTCTGGTTGCTACGAATAAAAGGAATGGATAATGTAAATTAGCAGACAATGGATTTAATACGTCTTTTAAACCATCATAAACTATTCATGTTATTTTGTCTCGTCGTTTATTTTCTCTTCTGGTTTACAGTTGAAATTTTTGAACATTCAAGAAAGTTAAATGAAAATTCAGTAGGTTGTCATACCAATACATCGATAGCAAATATTTATTTTATTCTTGAATATTTATCAAAATTTCATATAAATCTATTATTAATTGATCCATTTCTACTTGATTATCTGTTTATTCGTCAATTATCATTTCAAGAAGTACAAAAACGTTTAATTACATTTGGTATTTCATATGATTCTATTCATATAATTGATTCATTATTTTCAGAAAAAAAGTTTTCTCTAACAATATCAAAAAGTTTTAAAAATACATCTATCGATCATATATTTGTTGAATATAATCAACAATTTATCCATTTAGCTATTTTACATGAAGAAAAATCTTATTTTCTCATACGACAGAATACTGCACAATTACCGACTGATATAAAACTTTCATATGGTGATACACTTCGTGTTATGGAACCGTAAGATATATAAATATTCGAAAAAAAAATAAAAGATAATTTCTAGTTTTTATTTTATAGTACTGATTTAAAATTCACAAAAGATAAATTTTCATTTGCTTATCCTCGAAATGTATCGCATTTTTTATGGTTATATAATACATCAGAATTTCTTGAATGTAATCGAACCTTAGCCGATCAAATGGAAAAGAAATTTTATATATATCAAAATAGTAAACAAGTTAATTTAACTATTTTACCAATGAGGAATATTGTTTATATATTGAATAAACTTGAAAAGCATTATTGGCTTGCTGGTGGAACATTACTTGGTAAAAGTTTTTTTTAGCTCTTTATATCCTTTAGTGATTCTTGAAGAGTCACTAATGAAACAACCATTTTAATCGAATATTGATGTCTCTGATATATTGGTAGTGTGAACAGATCAATCAGACCCACTCTCATTTGTAGCAACAGTTTGATCACTCTAGTGTCTATTGGGAGAAGAACAATTTGATAAAAGTTCTATCCTGAGACCTTCGGTAAATGTGATGCAGTTCGACGCAAAAACGTCATGGACAGTTCAGAATCCTCTCATTCCATAGCGAATGATTTGCTCTACCGTTATATGGAATGTGAGCAAATTGTATGTCTGAAATTGTAGGCGCTGGAAAACTGAAGGTTTAGTTTTATAGAAAATCCGTAGTGATCATTCTGCATTGTAATATCTCTTTTTTTTTACCTAACTTTTGTGCAACTTTCGAATTCTATTAATACCAATAGTAGACAATAGAAACTTTATATGTCACACAAAACATTTTCACCATGTATATTGTTTGTTGGTAGAAAAACATTTAAAGATGCAGCAACACAAAACAAAATATTTTCTTATAAATTAATAGTTTATGAAGTTCATTACAAGGCATGTTCGCACAGTTATTTTAATTCCATGTTTTCTTTATTTTCTGCAATTGTTCTACAAATGGTCACTCTAATGACCAAAGACAGGGGTAATAAAGGGTTAATTTAATGCAAGATCAATTTAATATTTAGGTTGGTATCGTCATTGTGGATTAATACCATATACTAAAGATGTAGACTTTGGTCTTTTTGCTGAAGAATATGATGAAAATATTCGAAATTATTTTCTTGGAAATCCTACTGTTTATCTTTGGGGAGCATTAGGACTTGTAAGTAATCTATTTGTAAAATTTTTATCTAACGAAATATATTAGGTTAATGACTTTCTTGAATTCCGTCTTTTTACTGGACGCTATACATTCGATTTATTTTGGGCATATCGTGAAAATGATCATCGATGGTGTGGTTATCAAGCACAAAGAGTTAAATATAGGTATATTTCATTATAATTGAAATAAAAAAAAGAGAAATATATTTTTTGTTATATAGACGTATTCTTCCACTACTTCCAAAACTATGTTCTTGTGATTTATTTGGTTATCGTTTTTCAATTCCATGTTCACCTGTTGATTATCTTAATAATGAATATGGATATGATTTATGGAAAAATCCATTAGAAAAAAATTATACATGGACTAATATAGAATATCATTCAATTTGGGATGATATATCATGGATGTATGCAGTACGTTTATATACATCAAAAGGAGAACTTCGTCAAGATAAATATGCTATTGATTGGATTACTAATCATTTTAATTATTCATTAAAAATTATTCCATCATTTTTAAATGTTTTACCTAATGAACCAGTAACACTTCCACCAGTTAAAAATTAACTTATGTATGCTAATTGTTTTGATACTGAACGAAGATTGACACATTTTTATAAGACAATTTCATAGTTTTTCTTAAATAAGTATTTTTTGAACATGATCGACAAATTTTCTTCAAATGTTCAAATACACTCTGTTGTTTCTCATTCTTTTGTCTCGTGTAAAGTTGTATAACAAAAAAAACAAAAAAAAGTAACACTTCTTTCAATGGAATCAAGCAAGTCTCATTCATAAGATAGTCAAATATCAGGAACATATGTGCGCATCAGAACTATCAACAGGTCATTTTTTTTCTGGTTCGATTTGTCTCAAAATTTCTTCAGACCAGACTACGGATCATAAAATTACCTGTAGGTCAAATTAGGCCGATTCGTATTTCTGATTTTTCGAATATGTTTAATTGTATAACTCTGCATTAATCTATCATTCTAGTTTCAGTTGTTCACTTAATTTATTTCTATAAAGATAAGATAAAAACAAAAATCTTTCACAAAATAGTACATTAAAACAAAGAAATAATTGTTGTAAATATTTTTCATAGAAGAAAGATGTAGATCAATGCTATATTTTTTTATTATAATTATCAGTTCTATTTGCATAATTGAAAAAATGTGATAACAACAGCAAAAACAACGTATGCTTAGGCATACAACGATGAGGCAAAAGAAAATGAAGAGAATAAGTGATACTTATAATAGCAGACAAGGACATTTATATTTGATAATCAATTTTTGCAACAGTACGAATGCAAAATTTCCTATTTAATTGTTCTGAATTTAAAAAAGTTCTTCTTTCAGTCAATATAAATTTTACAACATAAAATGACACTCGGCTCAAGCACTTGTTGCTGGAATCAAATGAATTTGTCCAAGTACTCTTGAACCATAAGACGATTCATCAACATTTGATTTCCAAAACATAAAAGCCAGACTGGTACCCAGCCAGACAAAAATTTTGAAAAACACGTTTAAACGCACAATCGGGAACCGCGATTGTAATCTATTAACGCTCATTAAAAAAACGCACGAAAACGCGTTTATTGGCGTTGTTTGTAACTTCATGGGCGTTAAAACGGCGACAATTCCCGTTTTTGAGCGTTAAAACGCACTATTATTCTAGAACTTAAAAATAATACGTTTTAACGCTCCAAAATTGGAGTTTTTGCCGTTTTAACGCCCATAAAGTTACAAAAAACGCCAACAAACGCGTTTTCATGCGTTCTTTTAATGAGCGTTAATGGCTTACAATCGCGGTTCCCGATTGTACGTTTAAACGCGTTTTTCAAAATTTTTGTCTGACTGGGTAGCGCTGATATACATCATGGTACCGATATAAATGATCATCTATCAGTATCTTTTACAACCAAAAATAAATTTTACAAAAATAAATGTATATTTTATATCAATATCAAAAAGATCTATAAAATCAATACAGAAGTGTATAACCTATACGAAAATAATCTGACTAGAGTAACAAATAAATAAAATTTTTAAATAAGTTTTGAATTTTTCAATAAATTCTTTAATTGTTAAAATCGAATGAACGAATGCAGATTAATAAATATCTATTGCAAAATGATAGTCTTCTTCATTAAATACTAATGCCGAGCCCTGTTAGTACAAGGTGACCAACATCTTGTCTCATATTAAGATCTGTATTAGTAAATGCACTAGATATCTAATAATCACCCACAACTATTTCGTCTTTTTCTAGTTTTAGATCAATATGAAAATTACCATTATACCATGCTAGTGCAAATAATTGAATACCTTCAGAACCGACATTACTTGCATTTAAAATAGTTATCCACTCTCTGATATCCATCTTCATACAGACGATGAGTACAATAAAGATTTTTTAGATATGTTGCATGAGTCAATTTTTAAGTGAAGTGAAGTGAAGATTAGAAAAAATATCAATTTTTTGACAGTTTGTTCTAATGCATCTGTTATTTTTCCTTTATCATTAAGAAAATCATTTAATGAATCAATAAGAACAAGAGATATGCATATCGTTTTATCAAAATTTGATACAGTCAATATTGATATGTCTAACAGCAAGTACTCAAATGAATATTATCTTTTTGTTCACTTGTTCAACTTAATTGAATATATTAATACACGGCATGCATCTATGGAGAATTTTTTTCTCTGTTTTTCTAAGTAATCTAAGAAGAAACGGTCTCATTTTCTTATATATTCCACAAATATCTCCTAAACAGAAAAGATTCTCCATTAAAAGTTATATTTCTCACTTTCTGAGTACATACGGCATATAGAATGAATCGAACATCTCCATCTATGTGCCCATCGAACAGAAAGCAAAAAAGAAAAGAGACAAAAATAATAAAAAGAAAAGATACATCACAAATGTCGAAAATCACATGTAGATAATAACTGGTTGAACAATATTCATGATAATTGTGTATGGTATGTGACTCTGTTTTAAAAAGTTGCTATTTGTCTACGAAGTAAAACTACGTAAATGCTAATTTGACTTTTGCTAAATAAAATCTTTATGGCGCTTAGTAAATTAGTTGTATGTTTAATAAAATTATAGGATCCTCACGAAAAAATTAATTTTTCCTGATCATTCAAATTTTTAATAAGTTTGATAATTAATATACAAGTAAAATATTTGATTATCACGTTCATAAATTGAATTATAGATATAAAACAAATTAGATCAGTAACAAATATTATTAACACATAAATGTAATTAAGATAATAGCAGATACTTAAAAACAATATGAAAATTGTTAGTTGATAATATGGCGTGTATATATTTTCTATTCCTGACTTTTCTTTTGTCTGTGTTGCTGTGGAACTAGTCTATAGGAATGCACGATCCTTTTTTTAAAGAAACAAAGCAACAAAAGAAAAATAATTTTCAGACTAGTTCGAAAAATAATGCTCACCCAGGACGATGATTACAGTCACCGAGACAGTCAAAAATGATACTATATACTGTCGTATCATACAGTTTCTGGTTATAAACAGCTGTAAATTAATATTTGGTAGGCACAATAATATGATTATATTTCATTGTATTCTAAACGATCGGATATTCGATTTTTCAGATCCTTTGAAGACTGTTATCAATTGTTTATGGCACGATAAAGTACGGTTGTAATACTGTGTCTACCAAATTACAGTATGTAGTACTATTTTTAGTCATTTCGGCGACTATAATCATCGCCTTAATAGCAGTACAAAAGTGGCATGCTTACAAAACGTACCCCATTATACCGACATGCAACCTTAATACGGTGTATCGTATATGTTTACCTGTTCCAGGCCGGATTTCATTGTAATTTAGCAGAACAGGATCGTTTGCGTGCCATAGTATTCGATCTGAGAATTAAATTGGAATTCTGCAAATCATCTCAAACAATCAAGATATGCATTTAGATATAATTACTCAAGTTGAACGATACGTCAACGGATTGTATCCTGGCGGTAGCTCTGTGGTCAGTAATACGACCGTATCATAATTAGATGACGCCTTATATACAGACGTATTTTGTAAAAAAAAACCGTTTGTTTGCGTGTCATATTAGGTTGACAACGACTGTGTACAGCAAAGTTATAATAAAAATGCAGATACCCGTAATGATCGACATATAAGTAATACATTTACCCAGAATGAACACAACGATTGTTATAAACAGTTATGGATGATCGTATTTCTTGATTTCAGAAATTGCGAACGTATCTTACTATGTCGTATACAACGATATATGATATATACACGGCTATCATGAATTTCTCTATTCCTACTAACATCTTCTCAGTGAAAAGAATGAATTTCTATTCAGTTCTTACTCCCATCATCACTTAAATGTAACAAATGTAATTTATGTAAAAAAAAAAAAAAAGAAACTTACCTTTAAATTTGCTGTTGAATTCAACAGATAAAAGTTACACTTGTCAAATGTATTTCATGTCATAATTCACATATGCTCGTATATGTTAATCATACTTGAATGTATGATACTCTATACGTTCATCTTATATGATGATTGTTTTTTGCCTTATTTCATTATGCACATTGTCGTTTGCCATTGTGCTTTTTGAAGTTGGAATTTTTATTTTTTATTTTGACAAAATTTGAATGTTTAACCAGAATATGTATATAAAAATATTTTACCTAGAAAGTAAGTTTTGTTTTCATTTATGCATAGTAAAAAAAATATTTTTTTTTTTTTCTTTTTACTTAGAATCCTTTTCAGTAAATTATATAAACAATAAAGAACTTTTTGCTGAGTATGTAATTAAAAAACAATATTTTACATTTGAATGGTTGCTATTTACAAATAGCTTCGGTCAGACTGACATAATAGAAATCGTCGGTTCTATCGTGAAATAATTTTTCTATTCATCTAATAATTGAATAATATGAAAGTAGTGTTATTAGCAATGTAGACACTTGCATATTTCTTTTGTATTTGTTCAATGTATCGAAAAATCATATTTTCAATTGTTATAGATACGTCTGAGCTGCATTAATTTATTGAAAGAAAAAAAAAAAATATATCTATATATATTTATCTTTGTTGAATTCGATCTAATAAAATATTTATTTTATCTTGTAAATTAATCATTCCATGATTAATTTCAATCAAATGATCTTCTATTGTATCAATTTTATGTTCCATTAAAATAACTTTTTGTGATGTTTCATCTGTTGTTGTACTTGTACTACGTTGTACAGTATATAATTCAAGTAAAGTAACACAATTATCAGTTAATTTACGTTGTTCTTGTTTTATTTTACGCATATAATGTATTGATGTTAATAATTTACGTTGTGCTTGAATATATTGAATAAACATATGTTTACCTTTTCGTTTTAAGTACCAAACTTTCCAACCAAATTTAACAACATTTGCTGCTTGATTTTTATGTGCTTTTGCTAATTCAATATTTGCTACAAAATTGTGTACATATTTTTCTGATCTTGATAATTCAAGTTTTTGCGAAATAACAGCAACAAGTAAAGCAGTTGAAAATACACCAATTATACCTGTTATAGCAGCAATACCTAATAAAAATAAAATATATTCTTGTTTAGAAAAATTAAAATAAGGTTCTTTCAAACGTAGGGTAATATTTTCAGGACATTTTCTTTAAAATAGTAACATTGACATATATCATGCCTTACGTGAGAAATACAAAAAGGAAAACATCAATAATTAATATTTCTAACACATTCTTCCTACAAGGAATACAAAATTAAAAAACAAAAAAGAATTTTTGTATCATGAGAGCAATTTTTTTTATTTGAATGTTTCCATCTCTTTCAATATATAATCTAAATTAATTTTACCTCGTCCACAATATGTTGACGGTACAATATCTCCATAACCTAAGAACCAAACAAAATCAATCAAAAAATTAATAAGAAAAGTCAAATATTGAATACCAATTGTAGTAAATGATATTGTAAATAACCATGTTGCATCAACCATTGACATATGTCCTGTTTTTTCATTAAAATCACATGCACGCATAGCCCAACTTGCGATAAAAAATGCACTTATACAAAATGTTGTTAAACATAATGCTGGTTGTTGTTGAATATAGGCTTTAATAATAAAAGGAAATGTAAATGAAACTCGATTGAGATAGCCAAGTGATTGTGACGAAGCATCACGAACCAAAGGTGAACGAAGCATTATCAAACGACAAATAAGATATAATCGAAAAAACACTTAGAAAGAAAAGAAAAAAAATTTCATATGATTATTTTTTGTTTTGTTTTATTGTATTGAATATTTTCACACTTACTTGGCAAACTAAGTACAACATCAATTGGTACATAAGATTTTGCTAAATCAGTTGTATTAGTTGTTGATGATAATGATTGAATTGTTGTTGAAATTGTCGTTAAATTGAATACGATAGATTTAGCGAATGTATTTTGATTAGACCGATATGGATTAAAAAGACTAATACCATTTTCAATTTTTTTAACATGTTGTGAACTCCAGTCAACCAGAAAATGACCAGGGATAGGATGTATCAAACAAATAAATGCTTCCAATACAATCAAGAATATCTTTTTTTGTGTTAATGCAATACGCCAATCATCAATGGAATTATCAACACAATAAAGACTTAAATCAATACGATGATAATAAAAAACAAGACCAACAAGAATTATTGTTGTGAATGTCAGAGTTGCTTTTACAAGTAAACTAAATGTTGTATCCTTATGATCAAGACGATTAAATGTTAATTCACATTCAATTATCATTAAAATAATTCCCAATACACCAAGAAAACACATTAAGTCGCCAATAAATCGACTAAAAAAAAATGAGAAAATTAAAAAAAATAAAACACAAAAAAAAAAAAGAAAAACTATGTTGCGTCCTTTTTTACCGTCGGATGTGTAAATCTTTTCGTTTTCCTAAACGATAGCCAACATTAGCCATTAAAGTTTTTTTAACAACATGTCGTTTTCGTGCTGAAATTCGACGAAGTTCATATTCATTTTTGGCTAAACTATTTTGATTTTCTAATTGTTTTCGATTAGATGATGATGCCATTGGTGTGATAGTGATACTAGTTGATGATGATGGTGTTTCACTACGCATTTCCATATATTTAACAACTGGCGTAGTACGAGATGTTAATGGTAAACGTGGATTATCAGCTGAAGCCATCGAAAATGCCAAATACTGCTCGTATATACCTACTAATTAAAAATCCAATAGGAACGACATTGACACATTTGCTTTCTATTCCCACGAGTTTTTTTTTTCGATGAGGAAACAAAAAAATTATATGGAACGATCTAAAGGAATAAAAAGAACAAAAAAATATTAGGCCGCAGCCGCTATGATGAATGTTTGATTGAGCTTATAAAAAAAAAAAAAGAAAACACTATAATATAATAAAAGTAATGAGAAGAAAACAAAATATGAATAATTATTATTTTCTTTTTTTAGTTCTAGTTTTTAAAAGTTTTCCTGCAAAGACAGAATTAAATATTTTTTCAGTCAACTCATTAACAACAGAAAAAAAAATGTAAATGTGAATGCGTAGGTTAAGACAATAGGGGGAAAAAAGTATTATCGGAATAGTTGTGTCACGTACAGAGCTGGCTAGTGGAATTTTTATTTTCATAATATGTTACTTCTCTATACTGGTGTAAACGCGAGAATTATGCTTTATGCACGCAAATACAACTACAACAAGAAATTGTCTTCATTAATATGGCTACACTTACTCTTTCTCATCGTTTTCTTTTTCATTATTATCTAAGATATTATTTTTCTCAGTCATCTATGTGTTAGTATGAAAATGTAATTGCATACCGATGTTAGTCTGTTAGATAGGTGTTTTTTCAATGAAGTTACTGTTGTTGTTATTCTTTATGTTTTTGCTGAGACTCTTTTGAGCGCATAAAAAACGCACATACAAGGACGAACAAACACAAACTGGAAAAAGAAAGAGATGAAATGGAAAATTAAAACTTAATAGAAGGGCCTGGACTACAACTACAATACTCTTATAGTTACATACACTTGCATCATTCTCAACAAAAGAAAAAAAAGAGAAAAAAAAAGATATTATTACTAATTTATTAGGCTGACAAAATGTCTTAGCTAATTATGAGACTTTCTAAAAAATTGCATTTTTTCCTTTTTCGTCAAAATTTTACCATATTTATTATGGTTTGTAATTGGAAAAATGCACGATTAGATCATAGAGAATGAGAAAAACAATAAAAAGATTATTAGTATTCTATAACAAAAAAACAATAACATAGAGCAACAGTTTTTGTAAAAGAAAAACACTCAATCTATGATAGTATTTGTTTATCAAATATTTTTACAAGAAAAATTTACTTACCAAATGTGTGATAGAATAGTCATAAACATTCAAAAAAAAAACATAGTTGAAGCATATTTGAAATTTAGACTCTTCAAAGAACATTATAGCCAACATCCATATCACTGCACACAGAATAACAAAATTATTATCTATCGACAATAGTCAAATAGAACATCACACAAACATGTGTGTAACTTACAGAGGAAATTGATTTCTAGCCAGCTACATTACTATTTTTGAAAAAAAAGGAAACCAAATACATTGCTCGATTTATTTGTATCCTATTTTATGATCCGAGCAAATGACTTTTGATTTACATGCAAACAACTTCCTTTTTACTATATATATATATATATCTTTCAAATTGTACTATAAATGTTTATAGCGATAAACTTCATGATGTCTTTCAACAAACTTCATTAGACATATTTGATAAAAAAATCATTTTATTTTAATTAGATTTTTTTTTTCATTCGATTCTATCCTGAATAACAGGTGATTCAAAAATAGTTGGGCAAATGTCGACCCTCATTTCTCTTCGATAGAACAATGATGAGAGAAAAGTTTTTGATCAGAAGATGAAGAAATTTTTTCCCTTTCGAATCGCGTATAATTAACTCTTTGTTACAGGTTCATTAACGTAATGATACAACAAAAAGGAGATGTATTCTCAAAATGAGTCTGCATTTCTCATTTTATTTAGAATAATGGTATTAAATTTAGTACCCTATATATCTTTAGTAAACATGTATTGGAACAATAATTTTTCTTTTTTTATTAACTGACAGGAAATATTTTTCTCTTTCGAATAGTCTATAACTTTATTTTGTTATACATTCATAAAGAAAATGACACGAGTAGAAAGAGAAACACTTGCGCAGAAAATTTTCAGTTTCATCAAGAGGCAACAAACTGATTCCCTGATTTCTATCACTGGAAATTAGTTTTTTTTTCTGTTGATTATAAATGAATAAGAATCATCGGAAATGCTTTGAAATGGAGGAAAATTAAGAACGACTACTAGGACTATCGGCTATTATAGAATATCGTGAAAGTCAATAAAAATCATTAGAAATAAATACAAATCAAGGCTTTACTTTTAATTTTAGCACTGGAGATTTTCTATAATTTAGAGTGATTTCTCATGATTTCTGATGGTTTTCGATAATTTTTAACCATTTCCAGTCATTATTCGTATAATTCAAGGCATAAAAATGATTTCTACCGATTTCCAGTGTAGAAATCAGTTTGTTTTTCCTTCGTTTTTATATTGATTCATCAAATAAGCTCTGTAAATAGATCGAAACCTAATGCTATGCTAATAGCAGGTATTTCAGAGGCTAGAAATTCCATTCTGTTATTAAAAACAGAAAGAAAAATCCGTTATATCACATAGATCGAAGTTTTTTCGCACATCTTGAATCATAGTCTATATGATACTTATATCAAGTTTTTTGTTCTTTTGTTTAACCCTACAAGTCAAGCAATCTAAATTTTTGGCTTCCCAATGATTTTCATATACTATTTCAATTAATATAACCTAAACAGTTTCAATATATCATGCTTGGAGTGCATATCGTAGATTTACTTTGACGCGGTACAAAAGGTATTTTTCTTGTCTTAGTCGTTTGTTTACAATTTGTGAGTAATATGCTTTCGTCACATCATGCCAAAATACAAAATTTTCACTTTGATGATATTTTTAGATTAATGGCATTCATCTTCTAACTATACATTCATTTAAATATGTATCGTGACAAACTGCTTGGTTGGTTTGATATACATATCAGAGTTGCCGGTCTGGTCTGTTATCTGCCTGACCAAAGTTTTTGGACTGGCTCTTACGTTTTGAAAATCAAATGTTGATGAATCGCCTTATGATTCGAGAGTACTTTGACAAATTAATTCGATTCAAGTATCAAATGATTGCACCAAACATCAATGTAGTGTTGTAAGATTTAATATAAGAATTTTAAAAGAAGATCATCAGGCAAAATGCTTATAACTTTTTAACAAAGATAGTTAGAGACCTGTAGTTTTTATCAATCGAAAGAAGACATATGGGGACATCTTTTTCTCCAATATTGTGTAAGGCAAAATCACTTTAGAATCAATGATTTCTGAAAAAACATTGCAAAAAATGCATGACAACAATCTATCATTTCGATGAAATTTTGGTTTCGACATGTGATCTAGAGAGTGAAACTTCAGATCTATAGTTCAAGATATGATTCGAAAGATTATCTTCTGACATTCTGATGTTGAACAAATAAAATCGTCTATTTATTTGCACGAAAACTATGGATTTCTTTTAATTTTTAAGCAAATATCTTACTTTTTGTCAAATTTTCATCTGAATGACAAACCGTTTTTTATAATTTTTTGCAATGTTTTACAGAAATGACGGATTTTAAAATGATTTCGTCTTATACAATATTGGAGAAAAAGACGTCCCCTTTTCTCTTCTTTCAATTAGTGAAAACCACAGGGCTTTAGCTATCTTCATTAAAAAGTTACAAGTATTTTGCTCAATGATCTTCTTTAAAATTCCGATAATAATTAATTAAATTGACTGACAAGAGAACTTTTTCTAGATCCAAAACACTTAAATAGTAAATTTTGCATTCGTATTGCTGCGAAAATTGATTTTCAAATGTAAATATTCTTGTCTGTTATTATAAGTATTACTAATTTTCTACATTTTCTTTTACCTCTCCGTTATATGCCTAAGCATACGTTGTTTTTGCTGTCGTGATCACATTTTTTCAATTATGAAAATAGAACTGATATAATCGCAAATATAGCGTTGATTTAAATCTTTCTTCTACGAAAAATATTTACGATAATTGTTTCTTTGTTTAGTTTACTATTTTGTGGAAGATTTTTGTTATTATCTTATCTTTATGGAAATAAATTAAGTAAACAACGGAAACTAGAATGATAGATTAATGTAGAGTAATACAATTAAACATATTCAAAAAATGAGAAATATGAATCGGCCTAATTTGGTCTACAGGTCATTTTATGATCCGTAGTCTAACCTGAAGAAATTTCGAGAGAGACCAGGTCAGAAAAAAGTGATCTGTTGGTAGCTGAAATGCATGAACATCAAAATTTCTTTTCGATGATATTGTCAACCAAGCATGATTTTTGGTTCAAATTTCATTTTCTTTTTTAATTTAATATCCATAGGAGCTGTATTTGGAGTCAGGTAGAGTAATAGTGTGGATTTGGTGCCACATTATTCTCACTTAATATGAAATATTTTTCATCATCTAAAATAATATCATAATCACAATGAATCCTTTTATGTAATTTTCTGTAGATCTTTCTAGATATTATTTTCTTTAGCTTTATTATTCATCTTTGGAGCGTTTCGACATTTGTTGATAATAATTGACGTTCTTTTCCTTGAGTTACAACGAATTGTTGTCTTATGTTTTCGATAAGAATGTTTTGATAGACGGCCACTTCTTGGTAGAATTTGATTTCTCCATATATTTCAAATATCCATTCAATTGGTAATAAATTGTTGTTTTTGGAAAACTTTCTCCAATAAAATAATAAACTGTTGTTTTACACAACTTATCTGATGAAGTAAAGTGAAAATTGACTACGTGATTATTTCTCTTTCTACTCATGTCCTGTTAGCTAATAAAAAAAAATACTGTTTCAATGTGTTCACTAAAGAGATATAGAGCTTGGTATTTTGTACCGTTATTCTAAATTAAATGAAAAATGCGGACTCATTTTGAGAATCCTTCGGTTTTCTGTTGAGTACTTTTGTTTATAAGCCTGTGACAAAAAACAAATTATAGACGATTAGAAAGAGAAAGAAAATTTCTAACTTCTGACAAAAAAAAAGTTTTCTTTCACCATCATTATATGGAAGAGAAATACAGACCGACAATCGTCCAATTACTTTCGCATCATAAGTTGTTACGCATATTATGAGAATTTAATTCTTCTCTTTTTTTTTCACTTTGTTGAGTGTCGTTGCTGGGAAACAGAATATGAAATAATTAAAAATGACACACGAATCCATAATGCAAATTAAATAGAAAAAGACGATGGTAAATTTCTTTTTTGTTGCTAATCATAAAACGAAAAGTGAATGTTATACAAACAAGAGTTTTGACACAAAGAATAAAGTTGATGTTAGACTTTTCATTTGTTGTTAAGAGTAATCGTTAACGAAAATATTTCAATGGCATTTATAATGTTTCAGATGATGACAAAGCATAAAATGATTGTATGATGCCACGTGTAGTTCGATTACCACCATTGACAGGAGAACATGGTAGGTAGACAAAAATGTTTTTTCATATTGAATTTGAAGAAAAAATAGAAGTACGTTTTATTTTGTTATTTGATTCAAGTATACAAGGTGATAAAAAGAGACTTTGGTTAGTATAAAAAATTTTTTCGTTATGACTTAATTAAACATTTGAAACATTTTTATTACATGTAATTCAAGATTATATAACTTTATTTTCTCATAATAGATAAACACTTGTACAATCGGCGTCTGCCACATTATATAATACTTTTTTACATGTCGAAATATTAATAAAAACAAAAAAATATACTGATTGAAACATATTTTCTATTTCTAGCCATGTCGACTCGTAAATTTCGGCATACTAATGAAAGCTCCAATTCCGTAAATAGACGTGAGCGACGACAGTCTACTTTATATTCATCTAATCCGAGTACCGATTCTTTACCAATTGATTGTATTCTTGTTTATACTCTTGATGATGATGATGAACACATAAATGATCCTAGTAAGATGAGCCGATCTGAACGAAGAGAAAGATTTGAAGATTATCTCACTCATAAACAAGGTCTTATTCTTCAGCATGTGGTATGTAGAAATAACACATATAAAATAATGTAATTTTCCATTCTTCATGAATAGAAATCGACTACAGATAGAACCGTATATGTTAAAGTTCATATACCATTTAAAATTCTTTTATCAACTGCTGAAAATATACGAATGAAATTACCAATTGAAGTAAGTTAATAAAAATCAATTTATTATTGTTTATTTTTCAATGTTTATTTCTATAGAAAATAACCGCCGGAAAACTCAACATTTCAACAAATAATAAATCATGTTGGCATCGTTTTACTCATTGGATAAAAAAACCATTTCGTCTTGATCCATCATTAATACTCGATGATATTGATTATTATACAGCAATATACTCATCAAATGTCGAAAAATTTAAACCTTTATTTAAAGACTTACGTGGTTCGATTGATTCATATTTTACACCAAGTGAACGAAGTTTATTAACATATGAATTATTATCAAGAGCTCATTCTGATGTTGATGCTAATGGTAATATTGATGATGATCATGATGATGATGATGATAATAATTATCCACAAGAACCAGTAGCCATACGACCAGGTTATTCAAATTTAAAAATAAATCAATGCATAATTTATTTTTTATTTTTAGCTTTAAACACAGTTGATGCATTACGCAATGGTTTAAGAAGACCTGGTATGACTTGAAGTTTTATTTTTGTTTTATATAAATAGAGTAACATTTTGAATATTAGACTGGAGCTTATTGAATTCAATATAGATCCGGTTCTAGTCAGATCCATATTTGAAATTTTTCTAATCTCAGTAGACTTGAATCTGAGTTGAAAAAAAATCGATCTCGACGGGTTCTATATCATATTTATCTTTTCTAGAAAAAGTTTATTTTGTATTCTAGTGATATATTTATCTACGTCGAATAATGATTCTATATGAAGTATCACAGTAACATTAAAATCTTTTTGTGAGTGAAATTTCAGATTGCAATTTTCTGACGTTTAATTTTTTATGATGTTGGCCAAAAATTGCCTAAATTCAGTAGTAATAATTGGAGAAAAGAGACCCAAAAATATGAATTATTTTAAATTTTATTCACTCTCGATAGATCATATTTAATGAAGAAAATCTCTTTTTTTAATTCTTTGTAACGTTTTACTCATTTATTCAAGGGGGAAAAAGCGGATCCTCGGATCCTTGGATCCTCTTGGATCCTCTGGATCCTTTTGGATCCTCTTGGATCCTCTTGGATCCTCTTCGATCCTTTTGGATCCTCTTGGATCCTTTGAGATCCTCTTGGGATCCAAGAGGATCCCAAAGGATCCAAGAGGATCCAAAAGGATCCAGAGGATCCAAAAGGATCCAAGGATCCGAGGATCCGCTTTTTCCCCCTTGCATTTATTATTTTTATCCATGATTGAATTTAGCAAAAAAAACCTTTATTATTGATCGACTTATTGTAAATAATATTTCAGGTATCACTCGATTAATAGCTAAAAAAGCATATGTTTGTCACTTTCCTTTACATGAGGTAAATGATAAGATTTTCTTTTCAAATTGATATTGTTTGTTTTCTTAATTTATTCAAGTCTTTACGAGATGATATAACCAATATTGATGATAGTGATTTAAATGATCGAGAAGTAAATTTTAATTAATCTCTGTGGAATTTTATAATTTATTTGTTAAATAATAGAAATTAAAAAAACATTGGGCAACAATGCGTCGATGTTTAAAATTTCAACCATTATCTTTAATTCGTTCTTATATGGGAGAAAAAATAACATTTTATTTTGCACTTTGTGGTTTTTATAATCAAATGCTTATTCCGCCAGCATTAGTTGGTCTAATTATATTTATTTATGGTGCAGCTAGTGTTACTAGTGATCAACCAATGTAAACTTATTGAATTCTAATATTTTAATCTTTTGTTTTAATTCTAGATCTGATATTTGTGGAAGTTATGGAGAAAGCACGTATATGTGTCCAAGATGTGATAAAACATGTCCATTTTGGAAATTAAGTGATAGTTGTGTTTATTCAAAAGTAGTTCAAAGATGTTACTTTTTTGATAATATTTATGTTGTTGTAGATTTCGTATGTATTTGATAATGTAGCAACGGTTGTTTTTGCTATATTGATGTCTTTATGGGCGAGGTATGAGGAAAACAAAAACAATTTTTTTCGTATGAAAAATCATCTTTGTTTTTGGATGTTTATTAATCAAGATGGTTTATTGAACTTTGGAAACGTCGCGAAGCAGTTTTACGATACGATTGGGTAAATAATTGATTTGAATCAATAGGAATCCTATACATATTTCTTTTCTTTTTAATATTATATAGGATTCGATTGATTTTGACGAAAATCTTGAATCTATTCGACCAGACTTTGAAAATGAAGCAATTATCAAAGGTGAAAAGCGTCTCAATCCTGTTACCAATGTATTGTTTTTCTATGTAATTTAATTAATTAAAACGTATGTATATTTAGAGACGGGAGCCATTTATACTGACGAGCAAGCGTGTACCATTCTTTATAATTGCAGCTGCCGTTGTCTTAGTGACAGTAATTGAAAGTTTTATTGACTTTTTTTACAGATGTTATTTAATCGCTAGTTTAGATGGCGATTATATGTGGAACTGTCTTTGCTACAGTTGTTTATCGTGTTCAAATAGATTATATTTTGAAACAGACATCAGCAAAACAATATTCATCAATTATAGTAACTGTAACTAGTGCTATTATGAACCTTATTTGTTCAGTTTTATTATCCCAATTTTATTATTGGATTGCAAGAAAATTAACTGATCTAGGTAGAAAATTTTGATTTTTTAGCATTGACTTATATTTGCTTGATAGAACTTCATAAATATCAATCAAAATATGATGATTCATTAACAATGAAAATATATCTTTTTCAATTTGTTAATTTTTATTCATCATTATTCTATATAGCTTTCTTTAAAGGACGGTAAGAATAATATAACATTGAGAAATTTTCATATAAATTTAATTTAGATTTGATGAATATCCATCGAAATATGGTGAACCAAGTTCAAAAGATTTTACAGAACAGGTTTCAATTTATTCTTTTGCATATTGACAAATTCATTTAAGGCATATAAAAAAAATATTTGTATTGTTTAGTGCGATCCAGCTGGTTGTTTTGTTGAACTTTCTATTCAGTTTTTAATCAGTAAGAATCCAAGAATAAGATTTATTTGAAAAAAAAAACAAACGAAATTTATCATATTTAAATATAGTTATGACTGGTAAACAAATTGTAGGTAATACAGTAGAATTCTTTTTTGCCATCTGTGGCAGTTGTGCATGTTCATGTTGCAATCATGATAAAAATACAAAAAGAGAACAATGGGAAATAGATAAAGATTTAAACAATTTTGAAACAACCACATTAATTGATGAATATCTTGAATTAGGTTCGTTATTAAACGTCGAACTTAAAATTAAATTTTAACTTGAACATTTCATTTCATTCTACTAGTTATCCAATTTGGTTTTGTTACTTTATTTGTCGTTGCTTTCCCGTAAGTTTTATCAACGGTTTTTTTTTTTGTGAAACACAAGCTAAAACCAGTGTTGAACTGCATAGGATAGAATTCGCACTCGTTCTCTCTCCCTCCACAGTGTGCATCTAGGTAGACATTTATCTCAAAATGAAAACGGCACTTCTTTAAGATTTAAATGTAAGGAAATATACTTCAAAGTATAGTCTATCAAATGGTGTAAATAACTTTATTATAATCTTTAGAGAAACTGGAAAGCCAGTTACTAAAAAATTAGCTTCAAAACCGTAATGTCACCGGGAAAATTAATAACTGACAAAATTAAAGTGTTCAAGAGACACATCAAGTAATTTTTCTGAATCTCCAAGCTGAATTCTATATAATGGAAAAAAAATTTTTTTCTACAGAAGTAGTTCGAAAAGTTAATTCAATATAATGAGCAATCCAACCTCGAAACTTTTCTAAATTTTGCTAGACTGTTCTTCTATCTGCTGTCTCTAATGCCTGTTAGTACAAATATTATTCTTGGACTGCACAGTGAGTTTCCAAAAAGTCAAGATTTTTGGAAGTATTTTTCCGTTTTTCTGGGTTTTGAGAAATATGTAATCGACAAAAATAGTATATTCGGAATCAGCACATTAAACCGCGTCGAATGATACATGACACAAAACAATTTTGAAGAAAACAAAATTTGTCGAAAAAATGAGGACAAGGATCCTTCTCATGTATTTTTCATCGAAAAACTTCCCGAAAGAATTTTTTTCTTAACAATAACTTTCTGTCTCATATCCAATCATTTTCGAGCAAGAATGTCATATGTCCGCCTGCCATGCGAAAAATAAACATTGTGCCGTCCCCTTTCCTTCACACAGACTATGACAGACGTAGTTGGTATACGACCAAAGACCGTTTATTAATAATGTCTCGTTATAATATATGCACTATTTCCTTATTGAATTTCTGGAGAATTAAATAACAGGATGGTGGAGAAATGGATCCAAAATAGATAGAATAAAACAATCTCTCTGTAGTTGGAAACAACAACTACATCATGCTTCACATTTTTGTCTCATACGAATTACACTAACAGTTTTTTTTACTTATATATATATAGCTCATTTTCACTTGTTTTCTGACCTGTATAGATTAGCACCATTATTTGCATTGATTAATAATTTAATTGAAGTACGTCTGGATGCATGGAAATTTTTATCTAAATATAAACGACCGATTCCACATAAAGCATCTGATATTGGAATTTGGGATGATATTATTTCAGGTGTATCATATTTAGCTGTATTAACTAATGTAAATATTCATTTAAAAACAAAAAATACGCAAATATATAAGTATTATTTTATTTAGGCTGTAGTTATCGCTTGGACATCAGAATTTATTCCAAAACTGGCTTATAGTTCTTTACAATCAACAGGAACAAGCTTGAGTGGTTATGTTAATTGGACACTTTCATCTTTTCCTATAGCAGATTATAATCTAACGGGTACAATGACGTCAGATGTACCATCTGGTTTGACATATTGCCGGTAAGATGAAACTATTTTTGATACTTATTTAATATTTTTTATCATAGTTATCGAGATTTTCGTGAATCAACTGGTCCATCTTATTCTCACACATCTGTTTATTGGAATGTAATTGCTGCTCGTCTTGTATTCATTATTCTTTTTGAACATATTATTTTTCTATTTATTTATGTAATGCAATGGCTTGTGCCGGATGTACCAAAAACAATTCAAGATAAAATTGCTCATGAACATTATATTGATCAACGTGAACGATGGGCTAGTAACAGACGTGAAGAAAATTTTGAACAACCCGATCATACTTCTCGAGAGACATCGAAAAACATCAAAAATCTATTTCATTTAATTGAATATCCTGTTAATACTGAATCGCCTATCAATGATAAATCTCCTGCTAATGTTAAATCTCCTGCTAATGTTAAATCTCCTATTAGACAATCGAAGAGAAGAAAAATAATTCGAACGAGAGTATCACCGAAAGATACATAATGACTTTCTTATGATTGGTTTTTTTCTACTTCTTTTTCTATCGAATAAATTTTATTATGACCTGTTTTAACAAAGGATGTACTTTTGAATTAATTTAAGTTTTATTAATGATTTATATCAAATATTGAAATCGTATTAATTATAGTGATATTTAGTGAACTATATAAAGAGTTTCAAATGAAGTGATTGTTTTAATACTATGACTAAGCGTTTAAGATCTGTTGGTTAGTAGTTGTTAAAACACACTTTTACATCATGATTTTTAAGTTTTTTTTTATCAATAGCTAATTAAATATCTCGCAATTAGGTATTCAATTTTTAGCAATCGAATTAGAATAAAAATGTTTCACGAACGTATGCTTCATGTCAGATCATTGTTCAAAAGTTGACAATAAGGTTAAAGAAACACAGTCAACTCGGAAAAACACTGACTGATCGAGAACAGTAAGATATTTTATAATACAATACCGTGTTTATCGTCATTGAATACAAAACCCGGTGATTGGTGTGCCCATATTACCTTCATATACTTGCAAACAAAAACAAAAAAAAATGAGAAACTTTTATTGGATTGCATTCTAAATACAAATGTCGTTTCAATTATTCAGACATATACTAAATATATTCTAGAATATATTTCATAGTATACACTGTTTTTCTTCATTAGTTAACAATATGTGTGAAGATATATGGCGATCAATGTGACCTAGTTAACATAGAAGGGTGAGATACTTCGTTATAGCGTCTCTTCATTGTTCTTCTGAACAAAAGGTCGTTAGTGCAACCTCTTTGAGTCTAAAATGTAGAACTCACAAGTGTTCTTCAGCCTATTTATACTCATAGAAAATATGTAAAGCGAAAAAACTCTAGTAGACTGCTTTTTTTTCAAGGATAATCGGTCTTCAGACAAATAATCTCTTTTAATTATTTCTACATTTCGAAGAAAATATTTTTTACTAGCACTCGTTTGTTTGTTTGCCTTGTTCCTATTCACTCGTTATTTTTATTTTTTTTCTATTCCATATTTCTCAATGTAGCACTATTATTATTCTAACTAATAGTTTAACTGATAAGTAAGCCTGTTGTACATATCCATTATAGCTACAGTAGGTTTCAACACACTATGACAGATCTCGATCAGCTCAAAAACACTAATATTGATTATTTTTCACAATTATAAATTGATCAATTCATGCCATTTATGTCGAACATATGATGATTTTACCAAATTAATGCATCACTAGTCATCAACCTTGACGAGTTAAAATATAAATTTTTTTATCTACACAAAAAGCAGAAACTGCACTATTTAAAACATTAATAAACGTATTTCACTCGTTCAAATTTCGAGAAAGAGCTTGAAATGTTCTGCAAATCTAGAACAGTATAGTTCTTGTTTTTAATGTTGTTCAGCGTATGCTAAAAAAATTTGGGGAAGGAACTTTGATGTCAGCTACTATAAAGGTGCACAGGGAGTCGACGAGCCAAAACATCTCGACTTAAAACTCATGTTCACTATTTTCCTTAAAAAAAATGCAAGTTTCACAAAATACTATACTTATTGAAATTTTTAGATATTTTTGATAATAATGTGTTTTAGGTTGTGATCGACATATTGCACAAGTATGAAGAGATGTACTTATTGAAAAGCGATGCAAATATTGGAAAAAAATCAATTTCTATTATGAATCCAACTCAATCAGATAAAAGTTTTAAAGCTAAATAAATTGTATTAATAATAATATTGTTTGTTGTTTTTCAAAGAAACCAATGAAAGTGTCAAGTATTTTTTAATGTTATTTACATTACTTCGTTTTCATTTTTCTAATGTATTTTGTTTTCAATAAATACAATCACTAGTTGACTGCCATTTAGATTTTAGATGATTAATTGTATATTAATTTAATCGAAAAAAAAATAAATGTCGTTGTTATTTGATGACTATCGATAAAAATACTCCTTTTTCTTCTATTATGAATACCTTTCCCATATACAGCTATTACACTCGTCAATAAAGTATGAGTATATCATTCCTTCGTCTAAACAAGTACCGGTAAGACGTATTCTTTCTAATCGACTCTTTTCTTCTTCGTCACAGTAGTTCACATATAAGTGAACACGTGTACGAACACGTGACGTGTTTATCAATATTTATATTTATATATTTATATTATTATCAAGTATTATTTAACTTCACAGTATGTTAAACAAGGATGTAGCTCCAAATGGAGCTTCTTTGACTGATAAAATGTTGGTGAAGGATTGTCGTGATGTTGAATTAACATTTCTAAAAAAGGTGAACAATGAATATTCGTCAGTATTGTCTCCGGGTGTAAGTGAACAAGGTGAAAAACGGGGTAGGACACCAAGTGATAATGAATATGATCTTCAAGTTAATGGTCATGGAACACCGAAAAGAACACGAGCAATTCAACGAAAAACACGTACAATTACCAACTCTTCGTATGTAGTGACAACTACAACTTCAGCCAATAAGAATCTTTCTCACCAGAGAATGGAAGATGATAACAACCATTTATTAAGTAAACAGAATGATACAATTGTTAATTTTGAAAGAAATAATAATAATAATAAATTTAATATTACAAATGATGCGGTTGTATATTCAGTTGATCAATCTTTTACACCAATTAAAATTATATGCGAACCAAAAATAAATGAACATAAAGATGGTGCAAATATTATCAAGGAATTATTCAAACTCATCGTTGATGATTTTAAAAAAATTAATCCGAAGCATAATGAAATTATTGGATTTGATTCGTGGTATATTGACATTAATGGTGATTTACAATGTATTACTCGTGATGTTGATTTATTTATCTATTTATGTGATGTTAAACATGTTCCTAATATGTTATTAGATACAAAAATAAAGGTGGTTTTACCAAGGCATTTACCTGCCAAACGTTCTGTTATTATTAAAGGTGTACCTATTACATTTAGTATTGATGAAGTTAAAAATGAAATTATGAATATATATAAGTCAGTGTATTCAATTATAGAATTATTAGGTACAAATAATGGTAGAACACGTTATCTACGTCTCGATTTAATTAATACAGATGAATATAAACAATTATTGAATTATGGAAAAATATGTATTGATGGTCAATGTCTACAGGTCTTTGAATATCTTGCAGCACCTCGTGTTCTATTTTGTTCAATGTGCAACCTACCCGGTCATAGCAAAAAGTATTGTAAATTCACATTTGATCGTTGTAGGAGATGTGGAGAAGACAGGAAAAATGGAGATCATAAAAATTGTGTCATTAGTTGTCATAATTGTAAGGGAGAACATGTTTCTACTGACTTTAGATGTCAAACTGTTCAAAATTACCGTCGTGATCTTATACATTATCTTAAACATCATCCTGAAAGATTACCTACTGATACACAATTTTTTATTCCTTCTCAATATCGTTCATATGGTGAAAGTGCTCTATATAACAGACGTCCATATTCTCAACTGATGACTATGTCACCTAATAGAAAACAACAACTTACCAATGATGATTGGCCTTCGTTACCACCTCCTGCACGTTCCACCATCAATTATTCTAATTACACTAGCTCATCTTCATCAGATGCTATTAAAAATTTACAAATACAACTGAATCATTTAGATAAATGCTGTTCTATTGACAAAAAAAAATACGAAAAGAAAAACATAGAAATAAAAACACAACTTAATGAAAGTTTAACACAACTAAAATCATTAAACATCTGCTTTTCTACCATCATACAACGTCAAAATGAAACTATTATTATGCTTAAAGATACTATTAACGAATGTTTAGAAATTAATAAATACACCATTCAAGCTGTATGTTTAATGATGACAAAATCGAATGATCAACAATATGAAGAAATCATAAAGCAAATATCAAATCTCCCAATTGCTGAACGTCAATCTTCAATTGATAAAATTTTCTCAACTTATACACCTCTTATTGATGAACTTATGTCGAAGATTGTGGCAATTACAAAACAAATACAGGTATTAAATGACTAGTCGAGTTTTTCGTTATTTCCTGCCCTATATCAATGACAACACTATTCATTCATTTGCCGGATCACAGAAAGAGAAGTTGGAATTGCAACAAATATTCCAGGAATGGAATTCGAGATCATGTATGTCCGATCTATTTAAAAGGTGGAGAAAATCCAGACCTAATATTTCTGAGCAAAATCTCCTTTTTCTATTATATAATGTGAATTCCTTAAATAGTCATATTGCCGATGTTGATGTACTTGTTAGTAATCACTCGCCTCAGATATGTATACTTACTGAAATTGGAAAAGCTGTAATGAAGAAAATTCCTCATTTTCCGGACTATAGTACTATACTTCAAGAAGGAACGAACTCCTTTGGAGGTGTTGCTTTTTTAATACATAAATCGATCAAGTACAAAATAGTAATCGGAGAATTGAATTTTCTATTAATTGAAATTGAAACAATACCTGAACCAACTAGCGTTGGCGCTGTATATGTACCTCCTGGAACAACACCTCCATTTCAGCTTTTTACGAAATGTCGAAATAAACCGTTTTTCATCTTTGGTGACTTCAACGCTAAACACAGTGATTGGGGTTGTGAAGGAAATAACGTTAGTGGAAATCAAATAGCTTCATGGTTGGAATTGACAGGAAATGAAATGATTATACCGGATAAACCAACCTCTCGTAGATCTAATTCTATAATTGATTTCGGATTAACGCACGATGCCACGGGTTGGTACACGGAAGTGGTTGAGGATGGTACTTCCGACCACTTTCCCATATTATTACAATCCCCTCTAAGTGTTCCTTTAACAGCAGTTTTTAAGAAAACAAATTGGAAGATCTTTACGTTCTTTCTTAACGCTGTATATGAATATTGGTTGTCTCTAGTATACAACTATGACGATCAATTCTTTTTTACTCATTTTTCTGAATTTCTAACAAGTCTTTGGGATAGATGTAGTACTTATGAATCAGCAAGACAATATAGACCACCATGGCCACCACATCTAGTTACTCTTGCTCGTGAAGTGAATAGAAGACGACGTATATATAGACGAAATAAAACTGAAATCAACCTGTACTTATTTCTTCAGATAAAAGCTCTTTTTATCGATGAACGTTCTCAACTAATCCAACAGAACTACGAATCCAAACGCGAATGGATATTGAAGGATCAGAATATTTGGAAATTTGTTCGTCCTACCTTCCACTCGTTTTCCCCCCCATTTCGAGGTCTAACTGTTAACTCAGGCATTATGAAAAATCCGAAGGATATAGTTGATACACTTGCTAATCATTACGAGCAACACTTCGCTGAGCCTACACCTGATACGAACAATGTAATACAACAAAAATATATAGCTATTTATAATAAAATTGCTCTTCTGCCAAATATCCCATTAGATCCAATACCAATAAACGAAGTAATTAAGGAGTGGAAAAAAATGTCTCCGAAAAAATCCACGGATAGTGTTGACACCTCAGCTTTCCTATTGAAGAAACTTTCGGAACAATATATGAACATAATAACCGTATTGTTCAATAAGTGCTCAGATAAAGGTGAATTTTTTTTGGCTGCAAAACATGCCAAATTAGTATGTATCCCTAAAGAAGGTATTTACCCAGCCACTAATAGACTAAGACCTATATCATTACTCCCAAATATTGGAAAGTGTTTTGAACGAATAGTTCACAACCGTATACTATCGTGGTGTAAGAATAATAATATATACATTGATGAGCAATCTGGTTTCTCTTCTGGCAGGCGATTGCAGACAAGAATAATCTCCATTATTGAAGAATTAAGAATGACTGTTGCAGCGAACAATCGCCCGGCGTTGATAATATTCGTTGACTTTTTATCAGCTTTTGATAGAATGTGGGCACAGGCTCTTATAGCTAATTTGTATGAACTGAATATGCCATTACCGCTCTTAAAATGGATATTCAACTGGTTAAAAGATAGATCTTTTTGCGTACACTATGGAGATGAAAAATCTCGCACTGTCCAAATGAAAATAGGAGCTCCCCAAGGTTCTGTTATTGCTGCAACCCTATTCCGGCTTCATATTCACCGTCTTCCCTTGTATTTTAAAAATGTGGAACTTCACCTCTTCGCGGACGATCTCGCTCTTGTCCTATCGGGATCGCTCGAAAAGAAGTTCTGTGAGAATGTTGAAGAACTTGAAGACAAAGCAGCTGTAGTCATGAAGCAACTTGAAAAATTTGCAGAAGATCTAATCTTACCAGTGAATATAACTAAAACAAAAGCTCTTCTAGTCCACAGTATTGTATCTCCCTCATACCCTCGCCTCTATTATAAGTCACAACCCATCGAATATGTTAAAAGATTTAAATATTTAGGAGTGTATATTTCTACCAAATTAGGATGGGATACATACATCAATGAGCGTCTGCGTACTATAAGTAAAATTTATAACGGTATGAAGATAGCTTTTACAACGATTAAAATGAGAGATATCAAAATACGACGAAGAATTTTCCTATCATATGCTCTTCCACATTACTTATGGTTGTTTTCCACTTGGTTTTTCTATACGGATATACAAAGAGAACGTATTGAACATATGTTTTGTCACGGACTTCGGATTGTATATAATCTATATCAGTGGGATGATATAACAACTTTAATTCTCGCTAGAGATAAATCATTACGTGATTACTTATTTACATATTGGCGTCGATTAGTTTTACACCTGCTTAACTCTTCCGAAGCACTTGCCTTCCAGCAGACCTGGAATGCATTTCTTATCATTACTTCTCCTGATAATAGCTGGTTCAAGTCAATGGGGTTTCGTAAAAACAGTATCTTTCCAAATAGATTAATTGAGCAAGTGAAGCATTGTCTAATGGATTGGGTAGAGTTTGATGTAGTTCACGCTAAGCAATACGAATACTTTAAGAAATCAACAAATATGATAAACTCCTTCATATATAAATATTTTCTTTTACCACCTTAGATCTTGTGATATCCTGGATATAATAAATAATCTAATCTGGGAATGAAGGGATATAACCTTAATTATAGGGTAATATAGGAATTAAAATTTTAAACCAGTAGTGTGATTCCGACAATGGATGGATAGTGTTAACTAGTCATTGCCCTCAGAATGTTACAACTGTTATATGGGATGTTTTCTCTTAGTTTTCTTTTCTTCATCTTCTGATTATTTATGTTGGTTGTTATTGTTCTATAGTATTGGTCCCTTTTTACTTTTTTTTTTTTTTTTTTACTTTACTTATTGTTACTACTTTTTCGTCACTATATTTTCTGTTATTACGCTTCTTTACCTTATGTTGTTTTTATCTATTCTTACTTTAACTGTACCTATTACTTTATCTAGTAGTGTAGTGTGACTCAACCGGTACTTGGTGCTGTTCATGTTCGTTTGTCCTTTCTCTCTCTTTTGTACCCCACTTGTGAACCAGATACTTATGGCACAATAAAAGTAGATATAAAAAAAAAAAAAAAAAAAAAAATCTCCATTCCATTCCTCCTTACATAGTTATGCATGTTTGTATGATTGTGCATGTTTGTATCTTCTCTTGTTCTGGGAGAGGAGGATGAGAAGAGAGAGATATGTTTTTTCTTTTCTGTTCTTTTGTTTTTTGTTTTGTTTTTTTCGTTGCTCTCGCTGAAAGAGAAAAGGTGTTTGTTTTTTCTTTTTTTGGAAAATAAAGCTCACAACGTGGAACATCAAATGCAGTTAGAAGTATAAAAACTGTATTAGAACAAAAAGAACATTATTTTTAATTCCATGGTGTCCATAATGTAGTAAATTTTTTTTATTTCGCATATATCTCGGATTAGGAAAATGAAAAAACCTTGAATTTTTTTCAAAAGATGCGCCGCGAAAAGCTCTACAAAAGACATATTATTGAATTCCTTTTTACCTGTTCTAATGGTTTTTCTTTTGCTCAAAATGAAAAATGTACAGGTCTAGTTTTACTTCCCACAATATAGAAAATATTTCGAGAACTTTTCCGATTCGCTATAGGATTTGGTCTATACAAGTTTTGTAGAGCTTTCGACGGCACATCTTTTAGAAGCAAATTTAATATTCCATCATTTTCTCAAGACGAGATATATGCAGAACAAAAAAGTCTTCCAACATTTTCCGTTTGATGGAAAATGACACTGCCGTGCAAGTTGTTCATTTTGAGTATAAGAAAGACCATTAGAATAGGTAAAAAGGAATTCAATCATATGGCTATTGTAGAGCTTTTCACAGCGCATCTTTAAAAAAATTCAAGGTTTTATCGTTTACCTAATCCGAGATATATGCGAAATAAAAAGTGTTACAACATTATGGACACCATGGAATTAAAAAAAAATGTTCTTTTTCTTCTAATACACTATTTATACTTTTAACTGCATTTTATATTCAACATAAATATACCAAAAGATGCAGCGGGTTCTGGGCTTTCTTCCTATATATAGTAAGTTAATTGATAAAACTGTATAGTAATAAAAAAACAAAAAAATCAAAGAGTATAATTTCAATTTTCCTCGGCTGTATATCAATTTTTGGATTTGTTTCGTGTAATATTTCTAGTGTGTCTCATTGACATCAATTCAAAGATAATTACTATGATCAGTACAGAAAATTAGAGGATTATATTTCTAACAAAGTTTCTTTCTGACATAAATAATGGTAATCATTCCTAGTGTTTCAAAAATCGGTGATATCATTAGAACTACCTATCTTGTTTAGTTGAGATCGTCGGTAATCAAGTAAAGAGACGTTATTATCCTCCCATCATTTATAATAACGAAATGATAGCGTCAAGTAACGGACTTGGACACTTATAACATGTATATAATTCCTCACAAGTGAGCTTCAACGATGTACTTTGCTCACAAATATTAGTCGTCTTAGTTTCACTCTACATGTAAAAATATCTAAGAAGATAAGTCAAAGAAAAAGTACATTGAACAAAAAGAAAAGAAAATATGATAGAATCATATGTGAAAGAAGGACTAAGTGTGTCGATTGGAGAAGTATCAAAGAAAAACAAATTAGTTTGCCAATTATTTTGCTCTTGTTGCAGAGACCACTTTGTATTGAATATATCATGCTATTTTTGTCATGTAAAAATTGAAAATATCAATCAATTATATACTTGTGTGCGCTTCTTACGCACTAATAGACGTTGACAGACACATGGAATACTGACAACACAGTATACAATAATAACATCGTCAAGGCAAAATATTGTATAATAAACAATTCCTTGGTCTTGTTATTCTCCATCGTGTACCATTTGATAGTTAATGTTAGTTTTCTTCGGAGCAAACATGATGCGACTATTAATACTATTCTTGATCGTTCATGTTGTCGTTTGTCAAATGGCTGAAAAAAAATATTATATTCGGAAGGATGCTTTTTCTGGATTGAAAGCGGGTGAATTTTCGGTCTACGATCCAACAGGCAAAACTATTCATTATCGAATAGAGTCTCGTCTATCAATGGGACACTGGATGAAACTTATCGCCTATCCATCGAAAGTAGTTGTAGGCAAGCTCCAGCAGAAATTTAATCTTGGTTACAAATCCAAATTTGAAATTTTTGAGAGTCAATCTCAGACATGGATCACTGGGACGATTACTCAAAACTTCAAGCTTCTGGATAGCAAATTTACAATTGAATGGAATGATCGACGTTTCGTGATGTTCTCTGGTAGATTTTCGTTTGTCACTAAATTTTATGATGAGAAAGAACCAAGCAAAACCTTAGCTCGAATCACTAAGCGACTCAAATCATATTTATTTACAAGCAAATTCGACTTGGAAATATTTGACAAAGGGTTACCAGATGCATTTTATCTACTGTGTCTTGCTGCCAAAGATCGTCGTCGCCGTGTTCAGAAGTGAAGATCGGCTTACAAATGAGTTCCAATTCAGAGCGTTCGACTATACTCATATATTTTCACATCATAGACTTTTACTTTCTTGATTTCATTTAATGTCTAATTAATAAAAGCTTGTATTAAGACTACCCCGGTTCCTTCTCGATGTCTGTTTTATTTCCCGATTAATATTCCCTTCAAGCGAGTATAGGGAGTGATATATAGAGAGAAATAAAGCATCAAAGAATGCGAAATGAATAAACAAATACCGATGAGTCAAGGAGTGATACATATGACTGTAACAGCTTGATATATCTTTATGATACATGATATAATCTGATGAAATTTACATTGGATTCATATGAATTTCATCCATCAAGTTCTTCCTAGCAGGATTGAAACCGGCCCTAGAAACCGGTATCGGACCGGTTCAGGAAGTCAGCCGGGACGGTAGATACTGGAAATGCACCAGTTGAAAGTTCGGAAAAACCTTCTTTGTTAACCCTGTTTTTGACCATCAAAACTAAGGTGGTACATGTTTTTTCTGTCAGAATGCATAAAAAAGTGCTCAAAACATATGTTATATTAAACTTTTTTTCTGAGATTCTCTTTAAAAAGATTCATTATGATGAGTGTCTTTTACACACGTCCCTAAACTATTTAATATTTGAAGCCATTCTTTCTAAAATTCGTTTTTCAAAAAATTCCACATTTTCCCACCGGTTTTCCCTGGAATTTCAACGGTTGGATATGTAATTCCAACCGACCGGTAAGATTTTTCAACCGGCTAGACCGAACTGGTTCACCATTTCTCAGCTGGTTTCAATGCTGCTTCCTAGGAGTGTCACCGTTCCTGTTCTTCAGCCTTACGTTCCTAGGAACAGGAACATGACACGCGTTACCTTTACTTTTAACGAAACATTTCCGAATTCATAGAACGAAAGGCAATATGCTAAAAATTACGACTTTTTATAAACTTTGACCAAAAGTAATCGGAATCGAGAAATCTGAAGCTGTAATTAGTTTCTCAAAATTTTGAGTTCGATGTTTTTACTAAAAAAATGAGTTTAAAAAAAAAAGAAATTTGTTGCGAAAAATCGTTTTTTTTTAAATTACTCCTCAGTGAAAAAGTCAAAGTCAAAATTTTGAGAAATCGATCGCAGATTCGGATTACTCGACCTCGGTACCTTTGGTCAAACTTTATAAAAAAAATCGCTCTTTTTCAAAAATACCCTATACCTAACGTAAAAAATTAAACTCAAGATCTCGAGAAATTGGTTACAGATTCAGATTCTTCGAGCCTGATTACTTTTGATCAAACTTAATAAAAAAATCGTCAGATTCAGAAAACAAGTAAGATGTGGACTTCTTGAGCCTCATGTTGCTCAATCCTGGAAGTGAGAAAAGATAGTATAGAACATTGACTCCCGTTTTGCTAAATACATTCTTAGATGGGACCAAAATAGAGACCATGGAGCTTTTTCTGTGAACATAAGCAGCGGTTTGTATTGAAGCCCATTATTTTTCCGACAGCTTATAATTCTTCATTCTTCTGTTCCTAAAATGCATGTATTTGTAGCAATACTGCGCTACATGTCACTAGACTCCGTTGATAACAAAGTGTGAAAATATGAATATGTAACATAATTTATTCGAAAAAAACGCCGACAGACTTTCTTCAAGACGTGAAATATTTTATAAGATTTCAACGCAATTTTTGTAACCTTGAAATTGTTAGGCAAATCTTTTTATTCTAAAGGATGGGCCGCGAAATAACACTAGAATAAACAGTTGAAATATCTCTAATTCAGTTTGCTCAAATAGGTTGACTCTCTGGTTACTACTAAAAGCTTATTTAAAGTTTGTCTTTCATACAGATAATATAAACACTGCAGACATTCAGTGATATCTTCGGCTTCACTAAGGAAACTTCACTCACAATCAACTAAGCATATTACATATAAAGTTTTTGTGAAACGCGATCTGAAAGGAGTATTGAAGTGTACCGTGTAGAAATGTGGACCCCTTTCCCTCCCCCACACAAACCGTGACAAAGAAATTCAATAACCATCACAGACTGTAAAAGACGGGCTTTTGACACCATCACAGACCATGAAAGACAGTTTCACGCGGCTATCGGAGATCATTTAGAAGTTGCATCTAATTTGAATATATATGGAGTGTTTGCTGACATTCTGTATTGTAAAGTAAGAAATGATAAAGAAATATGCCGCAATATAATACATAAGAGAAACATCAGTTTTCAAGGGCTTGATTACAATAGCTTGATTGTGTTTCGCATTTGAATATCGCTTGGATTGCGCTATTCGTTGATAATTTTCGGTATTCTCCTAAGCGAATAATAAAAAATTAGATAAAATTCTATGAACGATACTACATTGGTGCATAGAACATAAGTTTTCAAAACTACTCATTTTAAATGCTGAAATTCGTGCTCCATAAGTAAAATACAATATTACAACCCTTTGAGCTTCAAAACACCAACATCCTTCCAAAAACCAGTACTTCATATTCAAAAATTCGACATTTCGTAACTCTTCACTGCCAAACTAGCCAGCTGTGAAAGTTTGCTCTATCAGTATCGGTAGAATATCATTCGTACTGTTTGTTTCTATTTGAAGTCCAGGTCTAGATTTTCATGAGAGCTGCTGAAGTTCTTCTCTTCTGTCACACCAACACGGACGCGAGCAATCTCGTACCTAGCGATGTATAGTGTAGATGTAAATACCGAGATATTGACACCGCCGTCACTGATACAATTTACACCGGAGCGCTGAAGACAACGGAGCACCGATGTTTACTGATATACCAGGCGTATCTATGTTGGTGCTTTACTCTCTTCAGTGCTCCACCATTCAGTTTATCAGTGCAGCCATTTCATCAGTGTTCAGTGTATCAGCGATGTGAGTAATCAGTAAACTGCAACTGAACATTCCTACTAGCACTTTCACCCCACACTCGAGCTGGACTCATACTCAACCACATCCACACCCACATAGCCATACGCTTCCCATCTATACCGACGCCTGGTGACCGCTCACTTCGGTATACGACATTTCGTCCCACACAACTCGTCCCAATTACATTTCATCTCTTTACAACTAGTCCCCTTACATTTTGTCCCAATTTCATTTTATCCCCTTACAGATCTTTCCAAATTAATTTTGTCCCTTTACATTTCGTCTCGTCCACATTTCATTTGATAATTCAATTAAGATGAATCTTTAGAGTTCCAGCTATTCAAAAATAGGTACGTCTAAGTCATATTGTCGTGTTTAGTGAATCATTACGATTTAGAAAGACCAATAAAGAATGAATATATGTCCTCTATTCGTTCTATACATTTATCGAGATTAATTTTCTGTTCGTCATTTGATTATGTGCATTAGTAGCTATTGTCTGCAATAAATTCATATAATAGTCGAGCAAGAATGAATAAAATTGAAGTGCTCAAAAGTACCAGAAGGAATTCCATGATATATTGTTCGGGACTTTTCTATACCCAACATAGAATTACTGAAGAAAAGCGTATATTTCGATGTACAGATCGAAATTGTCGTAGTAAGTATAAATCGCAAAATATTATCCGAAAATTCTTTAATATTATATTTTTCGATCGTTGTCAAACAAATGTCCAGATACAATTTTTCATTAAAGAACCATCCAAACATTCACATGCACCTGATCCAGATTGACTTCACATAATTCGACTTAAAAATGAGATTAAACTTCATGGTACATCATCAGATGAAGCACCAAGTACAATCTTATTTTATGTATTACGTTCAACACCACTGACAGCAGCACCTGGTTTACCTACGAATGACGCATTATTGAAAACAATTCGTCGTGAACGACCAGCTATACAACTTGATCATCATGGTCGTTTACCTCTTAAATTACGACAAACTGATCGTGATGAAAGCTTCATCTTGTATGAAGATGATTCTATGATTATATTTACATGCGATAAAAATCTTTCGATATTAAAGGAATGTAAACATTGGTTCATGGACGGAACCTTTAGTGTATGTATTCTTTTCCCTAACTTCCTCTTGAGAGAATTCGATTATTTAGATATGTCCCAACAGTTATTATCAATTATTTACTGCACTGTAAAAAAAATCCGTAGAATGATAAACCCAAAAAGGGTTGATGAAAACAATAAACCCTTTCCGATACCCTTTGGAAGAGTATATGAAAGGATTCTAGAAATCAATAAACGCTTACATAAACCCTTCTAGTGGGTTTATAATAGGGTTTATTATTGTCCTCAACCCTTTCATCCACATTACCACAGCGTTTCGGAAAACTTATTCTTTCCCAAAATTCATATGTTCAGTTTGATGAGTCGTGCAAGCAAAACTAAATGCAAAAAAAAATAAATTTATTTAATTTAAATACAGCTTACTTGTGATTTTGTTATTGCGACTAAGCTAAATAAAAAGGAAAAAAAAACTATTTATTTTAAAATGTACTTACATATAATTTTGAAGTTGATATTCAACTAAATGAAGAAAGCACAGAATTATGTGTTTAAAAAAAATACTTAGATATGATATTGAATATCCTATTCAACTAAATAAATAAAAAACATAAATATCAGTATGAAAATAATACTTACATTTGTTTTTTGAATTTGATATTCAACTAAATGAAGATAAAACTAAATTATCTATTTTAAACTAACTCTTACATATGATATTAAATTTGATATTCAACTAAATAATGAAAAAAGATAAGTATTAATATAAAAATAATACTTACATATAATTTTGATGTTGATATTCAACTAAATAATGAAAAAAGATAAATGTTAATATGAATATAATACTGACATTTGATTTTTGAATTTGATATTCAACTAAATGAAAAGCAAGCAGAATTATCTATTTTGAAATAATACTTAATACATATGATATTGAACTAAATAATGAAAAAAGATAAATATTAATATAAATATAACACTTACATTTGATTGTATTGCTTCGAGAATTTTAAATAAAAGAAAGAATTATTTATAAAAATAATAGTTGCATATAATGTTTGACTTCATAATGAGCTGAGTAAAGATTTTATAAATAATACTTACGTTCATTATGGTGGTTTGTGCACATAAAACTAAGTGTCGTTTTGTTCTAGAGGCTGATGTAAATGGAAAGTAAGAGTTACTGATGTGAGAATTCAATGCTATTTGAAC